TTACCATCTTCTAATCTGCAGACAAGCCATCCTCGCAATTCTTCTAATGGGGTATTGTATAAAATTGATCGATGATTTTCTTCGGTTGGATACGTAATATTGTTCTCTTTTTGTTTGTTTATTATTGATCCAAGAGTATTTCTTCTTCCGCTTCGTGTACACTAAAGAAAAAAACAAAGCATGAAAGAGTACATATTTTAAAGAGATCAATAGATTTGTCATACTTTGTCTTTATAAAGCTGACCTATCGGTGTTGACGTTCGTAACAAACGTTGAATATTCGATCTTGGCGCATCGCAAAATTCTGGGTTAATTAGTGAAATATTTTTATAACTTGGTAACAAAGAGCCCCCTTCTTCGACTGTTATATTTATTTGTGGTGATGGTAAACTCTTTTCTAATTCAATAACTTGTACTACTGCAGCTGTCGATATATTTAATGGTGACTGTAACGTTTGATTTACGTCGCTGTTGTGAAATCTGTTGAGTCTTGTTCTTTTTTCTTCAACATCCGAGCAATGGGAAGTGATAACTGAGTAGTTGATGGAAGATCCATTTTTGTTTTCCCCAAAACAAAAGGCTGATTTGTTGACGGCTGGTCGGCATGCAATGTTCTGTATACCGACATGGATGCTGTACTGCTCTTGTTTGCGTATCTTTGCCATCTTCATGTCTTACAAGTGGCATGAAACATTCTACTGTATTTTGATGAGTTGAACCAAACGTTGCTGTTGTAGCCGTAGTATTTGACGATGATGACTGTTGAACGTTGCTTGATTCATCTGTCGACGATCGTGAAGACTGAAATTGTCGTATTCTACTGCGAGAAGCAACTAAGGATAAAGATGAATTGCGAGCTTTTCTGAGTAAACGATCGTAACACTTTCTATGAACATATGTGTTTACTATCTGACCTTGTAATTGTTTGTTAAATAAATAAAAAAAACCATATTTTAATTTATTTGCAACTGCATTTGTTTCTGTATACGTAAATTTGACTTTTCCTTTCGTTGTTGTTTGATTACAAATCCTGCAGGTGATGAAAGTGGGCATCTAAAGTGATTTGATCATTGAAGGAAGAAAAGTGAGTTTCATAATGAGCACGCTGGATTTCGTTTAAAGGGAGCCCTCTCCCGGTTTTTTCAGCCAGGTTTCTCGAAAGGAAGCATTTCGTAGCAAAAGTGTGGCTGCAAAAATTGTTCAGAATGTCATTTTCTATGAGATAAGACATATTTAGCTCGATATTCCTTAAACTCGATCTTTTAATTAGATTTAGAAACTTTTAAAATTTTAAACACTTTTATTTTTTATTTGAATTTTAACAATTCGAGAAAATTTTTAATTTTGAAATGTTTTCTTAAATTTTTCCACTTTGTACACGACACTTAGAAGTCGTACAAAATTATACACAATTGTCTGGCACATATTTTCTAAATATTAACAAAGTAATCCGCACGATGGTAAAATCGCACACAACATTCAAAAATTGAATACACTATCCATAGACAATGAATGATATTTGACGACTCTAAATGGAGGAGCAAACAGTCAATCTTTCTCACTGATTAGTTCAATGCAAAATACATCTCTATATTCTAATATATCGTGTTCTTCTTTCTATCTGGTAAAGTCATTTGTTCGTTCTTTATCGTCAAAGAAAACAGAGCGGAAAAGAGAAAAATGAGCAGACTATTCTACGGGAAAAGTCTCGTTCTATTGCAGTGTCTTATTTAATAAGAGTAGGGACATATGTCCTATTAATTAGGTGTCTTATCAGAGATGTAAAGTCTCACCACGATACAAATGTTTTCTAGCAAATTGGACTAATTTCTTCGTCGACGTTTTTCTGTATATTCCAAAATATCTGCTTTATTTTTATGCTATGGCTCCTTAAACAAAAAATCACATATGTAGCATAAAAATAAAGCAGATATTTTGGAATATACAGAAAAACGTCGACGAAGAAATTAGTCTAGTCTGCTAAAAAACATGTGTGTAGTGGTGAATACTGATCAGAGACCAGGGACACAGAGAAATTTTAAAAGAAATGACATATGTATGTCAGATGCGAACTTTTTCTTTATTAGTTTATTTTAATGATATCCAAAGGATATGATTCTCTTCCTTCGAATTATCAAATGAGATATTCTATAGCCAGTGATGATACATATGTGCATTGGCGTTGTTTGAACGAAAAACAACATGTTGACTTTTGTCGACTTTTTTGTAGTGTTTTCTGGAATATTTTGTGGTTTCTTTACGCGTTTGAGTAGAGGAAAAGCTCGTGGAGCTAGGTTATTTAATTTGAACAAAAAAATGGCTGACTTATGAATCACAGGTTGATCTGCAGTCGTCCATACAGTTCTAACAGAGATCACAGATATTTACATATTCAATCTTTACATATAATAAGACACCGCAACAGAACACATTTTTTCCGTGGAATAGTCTGCTCATTTTTCTCTTTTCCACTCTGTTTTCTTTGACGATGAAGTACAAACAAATGTCTTTACCAGATAGAAAAAAGAACACGATATATTACAATCCTCCCTATACACATTTGCTAAAATTTACCAGGAAGTGGAAATATAGATTCCTTACTTGATACGCCTCTAATGTATTCGCATGCAGTATACAGAGCAACCTACTAATTTCAATATCTTCTATTTTCATAATTATGTTTATTTTTGTGCTTCATTTGTCGTTCATATTACGTTGACAACCTATTTCATCATCATACATTCTAACAATTTCTATATCTAAATTCAACAGCTGAAATTGTAGGTAGTAATTGTCTATTATTAAATAATCACACGAATCATAATCGTCAAATTGAACCAGATAATAATCTGTTTCATTTTTGAATTGTTTCACGATTTCATATTTTGAACAAAATTTATATAATTCAGAATCAATACGTTTCTTGAAAACTGTTCAGCTAAATTAGAAGACACAAAGAAAATTAATAAAAGCACTAAACAAGTGATGTAAAATTACCTTGGTAAGTAGTTTTGGTTTTAAAAACTAATTTGATCATCGTACTAACTTTATACTCCTCTAATTGTGATTCAAATTGTTTCGTGGGAAGAACACGTCTGCATTTCAATGTATGACTATCTCCCATTAAATGGGGCCGATTATTCATGAATTTGTTTACTTGTTTGACAGTACTGTACTGGATAAAGGCTAGACCACGAAATATGCTACTGTGATCGTTCATCATTGTAACTGTTTTTGGATGATCAGTAATTCTCGCGTAAGCCAAAAGTTGACTGTATTTAATACTTAATGGTAGATTACACAAAAATATCGATTCTGTTTGACAATTTGTTCTCTTCTAAAACAAAAAAAAAAAGCATATACATCTTTTAATAGATAATACAGTCAAGCGACACAAAATACTTTTGATTCCACTATTAATGGTACACATTTATCCATTGATTGTGTTTTGTATGATGAAGATGATGAAGACGAAAAAACCCTGCTTGTCTGTAAAGGCGACATAGGACATTCTACATTCGATGACGCGGCTAGTGGTCTGACGATCACTGAAGACAAGGATGGTCCTTCTGAGTAATTCTTTTGTATTGTATTTCTTGTTATTGTGGAAAAGAATAATAGACATTGTTGGGTGTCTAAATCTTTATTACAAGAAAAACTGAACCTATTTACCTCTGATCATGAGTTTAATCTGTTTTGATTGTTTAACAAAATGATAGAAGATGTTGATGATGATGAATATCTTTCACAATCACCGTTGCCACCACGACCAGAGCAACAACAATGTCGGCTATCGCCCAAAGACATAAAATAAACAAATAAAACAACACAGCAATCTAGGTTTCTCTCCTACTGAAAACATCGGCTGGATGACATTTGAAAGTTTTTTTATTGATGATTCACACTTTCATACATCTACCAGACATAGACCCAAGCATAGGATGTGACTAGGGATCGAGTGGGTATGCCAACGACATGTCCGCCTTGTTGAAGTATACATTTGAAACCCCGATCGTCAAGCGCATCACCATTTCTCCATTCGTAACAAAA